TTTACTACCTATATCACGATAAGTTTTAAAAATTATATTATTTAATCTTTCCGTATTTTTATGGAACGGTATAAATAAACACGCTATAACGGTGTAGATTGTTATAATTATCGAAAACTAAAATTTCGCTTTAAAAACTGCAGGACTCGACGTTATTGCTAATTTTTGACCTTACCTTAAAATAACATATCAAATAATGATAAAGAAATATTGACAATAACTATGTAATTAGTCCATTCAAATCAATTGCAATTACATTTCTGTTTATAATGTAAACAGAAACTTGTTGGGTTAACAATATCGATGTTTACTAATTTCTCCAATTAAAAAACTCCCAAGGAGTTAACTCTTTCTTTGGAGAAACTGGTACATTTTTGGTTGAATATGGCTTGATTTGTTGAGAATGCCGGTCATTTTCTGCTTTTGCAGTTGTTATTTGTCTAATAAAACGTTAAAAGGGAGAAATTGGGATACATATCGCGAATATTGCTTTATTATTTTAGAGTCGTGTCGTCTGGAAGGAATTAAATTTTAGTAAATTTTTTCGAACTAAGGTGTTTAATAATTAAGGTGTTTAATAGTTTAATAATCAATACAGCTTTCTTTGCTAATAAAAGACAATTTATTCCTTCCTCTACATCCCCTGACGTATTTAATGATTTTCACATTTAAGTTAGGAGTTTTAAGTATAATTCTGTGCAATACAAGACAGTTTATAGAATATTGCAAATATAGTCTTTACATCAACTTGTTCAAATAGAATACTTAGATGTTTAGAAATCAGTTCTTTTGTCAACCTTTTAACACATCACTCAATAAGTAGTGTGACTGGCACACAGTTGGCGCTGCCATTGGCAAATCCATATGACGTTTATGAAGTATCAACCTTCAAAAGACTATGTGTAAAATTTCATGACATTTCGATTAGTCAGAAAAAAAGTGACAGTCATTTAAGTGAAGCTACTTTTGTTATTTTCAAAACAATGGATGCAAAACAATTTCGTGTATTAATTTATCGTTGCTTCTTAATAAATAAAATACTGTACAAGCTCAGCAATGGGTTCAAAAGTATTATCCGGACTCTGTTCCATCGAAAAGAACCATTTGTTATTGGTTTGCTGAATTTAAACGTGGTCGTACAGACACCGATGGTGGTGAACGTTCTGGTCGTCCAATTGAGGTGGTTAGTCCAGAAAACATTAAAAAAGTCCAGAAATTGGTTCTATCTGATCGTAAATTGCAATTGCGTGAGATAGCTGAGACCGTAAAGATATCAGAAGGCAGTGTGTTTACAATTATGCATAAACATTTGACTATGAGAAAGCTCTTTTCAAAGTGGGTGCCACGTTTAGTCGAACAAAAACAACGTGTTGATGATTCATAGCAGTGCTTGGCTATGTTTACACGTAATAAATCAGATTTATTGCGTCGATATGTGACAATGGATGAAACGTGAATCCATCAGTTCACTCCGGAATCAAACTGATCATCATCTGAGTGGACTGCAGCCGATGAACCACGTCCGAAGTGTCCAAAGGCACAACAGTCAGCTAGGAAGGTTATGGCTTCAGTATTTTGGGATGCACATGGTATAATCTTAATTCACTATCTCGAAAAGGGAAAAACCATTAATTGTAACTACTATGTACACGGCATTACTGGATCGTTTGAGAGCATAAATTGTGAAAAAACGACCGCATATGGCGAAGAAAAAAATTTGGTTTCACCAAGACAATGCACTATGTCACAAGTCAATAAAAATGATTGCAAAATTGCGCGAATTACACTTCGAATTGGTTCCTCATTCACCGAATAGTCCAGATCTGACCCCCAGCGATTACTGCCTATTCGCTTATCTCAAAAAATGCTCGCCGGTAATAAATTCATCACAAATGAAGAAGTAATTGCTGAAACTAAAACCAATTTTGAGGTAAAAGACAAATCCTTCTACAAGCTCGGCATCGAGAAGTTAAAGAAGCCTTGGAATAATTGTATTGCCCTTGAAGAAGATTATATTGATGAGTAAAATGGATTTTTGGCAGAAAAAATGTGTTTTTCTTAGTTAGTCACATGACTTATTGAGTGATGTGTTAACTCTTTGTTATACGAAAATGGTCATAATTTAATTGGGAGTAAACTTAATAGATAATATTTCATGATATATACTAGGCCAGTGTTCTTTAAGAATTTAAATTCCGCAATCCAACATATTTCATAAAATACAAAAGGTATGATATGCTATAAGGTATGATAAGGTATAAGGTATAATATGCTTTTATGGTTTTTATTTGTAGTTTATTATTTCTTTCCTTTGTTCTTAATTGTAGTATTGCTCTAGAAAATGGTATCCTCTAGGGCACTGAGTATTTTAAAAATATCGGTTTGAATGCGGAATAACATAGAATCACGTGCTTGCTCTTGATTTTTTTTATTCTCAATTGGTTACGTGTTATTTTTGTATGTACTTAAGATAACATAGGTTTCAGTAAAACAATACTCACATTACAAAAAACGATGCTAGAAAGAATATTTTTTTATTTCAACTTTTTAGTTTATTAACTTTACTGAGTTAAGCCTTTCAAGTGCACAATATATATTTTTTAATACCTTTTAAAAATAAAAACTCAGCGTTTCAGCGTTTCCATAGTTCTTCATTATTATATTTTTATTTTTAATAGCAAAAATAGTAAATTTATGGATATGTTATGTGGATTCGTGTTTAGACACACTCTCTGTTTTATTATACTTGTAAAATAAATATATTCAGATAAAAATACTCATATCTTTGCTTTGTACTTCATTTTGCAATAAGTTTAATTGATGATTATATAAAATTTTTACCAATACAGTAGAGGCACTAGGTTCAGTAGAATCACTTGGTTTTTCGGGTAGTTCGAATATGCGAAAAATTCTAATTTCTGGACTTTTTATTTCTATAAAAAATGATCAAAAAATTAGAACTGAAGATAAAAATTTTATTTTACAGTTAAAATCAATCCTTACTAAGCATTATTGTATAAAATATTCAATAATGTTAGTTTGTTTTATGGATTAGTCTAATTTTTTGTCAATATTTTCCTTACGTAGATTTAAAGGATTGGTCACGTAATTAGTAGGAAACGAGTTGTTCTTTTTGCACCAATTTATTAAGATATTGATTGTTTTAGAATGGGACACATTTGGTGTGGATTGGGAACATCATCTTCACTGTTATTTAACGTATCAATATCAGTATTGAACTCATATTCAGATCCGTCTTAAACTTGCCTTTCTAAATGAGTTCATTAAAGTGCGGATTTTGGGAACTCCCTCCTTTCTTTTTATTAAAACAAAGAAGAACGAACACTGTCTCTATTTGTTGTTTTTCATGGCTTTCTATGTCGTTGAGACTTAAAACCATGGTGTTCAAAAACACACGTATTAATTTAAGCGTCAATCAACGCTCCATTGGAATCGCATTGGTGATTCCGCCGGTACCAACTAAAGAAATTCATGCCGGTCATATCTTTCATCTTGGTTCGATGTTGAGAACCATCTACATCTCTCCTACAATGTGGGTTGTTTGAAACGCACTCCACGGTTTGAAACGCACTCCACGGCAAATGAATGATATGCTTATACCAATGATCATTCTTCCCGCGTATTTTTGGGTATTAACCACAACCACTTCGAGTCCTACACCAATGGTCAGCGCAGCCAAAGCTGTCGGGTTACTGACCCCCGAAGTACCAGATCGGATCATCTCTGGTCAAATGTCGCAAGTTGCACTCCTCAACTCACTACCATTCACACTTCTTGCATAAGTGCCAGACTGGCACTGGGGGATATAAGTCGCCTCTTACGACAGGCCATCCTAACCGCGGGAGTATTCTTTTCCCCTCTCCGCAGGGATAAGAAGAACGAACAATAACATTTATCAACTTACTAATTTATACAAACTTAAAAAAAAAAAGAAACGAGAATTTGCTCAAAAATTGGAACTAATAGTTTCAGCTGTTTCAGGACCACTGTGATTCGTTTGGAAGTCCTTCTGGTTGCATATGAACAAGGCAAATCCGTGGTATCACAACGTACCTTTATTTGAGTTTAAGTGAGTTTGGCTGTACAAGACCGTTACTCCAAACCTGGAGTATAAATAAATAATTATTGAAACCACTTTTTTAATATATCATAAAAAGTCTATAAAATGAGTTTAAAATCGAGATTTAGCATGAATTATTAAATTAAGATAGAGAAAAATTAGTCAATGATAATAATTCTTTAGTACTAATGATAATTAGAATGTTATTTTTTATCAAAAACTTGCTTTGATGATATTTTTGAAAAGAGTAGAAATGCTTTAGAACAACTGAATTTGAATTAATTGGAGTTCTTGCTTTAAATAAAAATAATGTTTTAATACTATTTTGAGAACTACTTTAAATTTAATTGCGTAGTGTGAAGTATAAAAATGATAAATTAATATTTAAAACTTAAAATAAATATATCTCATGCAAAAATAAAAACTTATTATATTTCAAGTGCCTTTTTATATTTAAGTTTTTTAAATAACTTTTTGCATTTTTTTGTTAAAAAATTGCTTTTAAAAATTCTTCTTCATAATGCCACCGTAGAAAATAATACTCACTTTTAGCCTTTCTAAGAAGCCTAATAATGCAAATGCATCTAGCATTTACACGGTAAAGTATTATAACATGAAGTTGGATAGATGCATACCATAAATGTATGTAAGTAAGCACTTAAGATACCTTATTGGCCTCAAAATATTTATTGAAGTTTTGCATACTTGCACGAACATTGTATGCAACACAGCAATCTTTAAAGTGAGCCATAAGCCATTTGTGTTAATAGTTGGAAAATAGTTTCTTCTAAGTAAATGGAGCATATTTCACAAGTTGTGTACTTGAGGGAATGTTTCAGCCGCAACGCATTTAAATTATTTTCAACTATGAGACTAACAAAGAAAATTGACATTAATTTAAATAAAATTTATTTTACAGATGCACTCAAATTTAATTTTAATATTTTGGAGGAGAAAATTTTCCATACTTTTGTTATCAACAAGTCTGATAATTATCACCCTTTGGTTCTGGACATTTATTGATACGCAAACTAATAGTCGAATTGGCGGAGCACATCTGTGGAGTGTAAGTTTTTTAACATTTCTAAATCATCTTTATGAATAATAGTACAATTATTTATAAGTTTTTGCTAGTTGATAAAATTCAAGCCGATTTATCTAGCCACTAAAGATTATAAATTAATTTTGCAAATTTATTATTTATTTTATTTTAATTTAATTTATTTTTTATACATAATAGGATTTTAGTAATGCCGAGAGCACCTCTAAAGAAACACATATGCTACAGAAACTGATTTCACAAGCAAATCGCGTCTTAAGATACCAACAACAATTGAACGATAATTCAGGTGCGAGAATAATAGCTGGTGGCATACCAGCTGTACCAGCTGCAGCACATAGAAATTCACCTAACGACTTGCGTATTGTGCGTTTTGTAAAAGGAACGAGAAATCCGTCAGAAGGTAAAATAAAAGAAGTATCCTCGAATACACTTTCTTTAGTGGCACGACGGAAGAAATCGCCCGTAGTTGGAGAGAGCTATTTATTTGAGGAGGAACGTTTAAAAATATTGGAAAATCAGCAACGAGTGCGTAACGCTGTCATGGAAGATCTAAATCAAAATAATATGGATTATGAACGCACATTAACTTCTGCTGAGAGGCAAACACAATATGAGCATGAATTGCAACGTATGGGTGTGCCAGTGATTGCAAGTATAGGTCCTGAAAATGCACATCCACCAAATGAGCGGTTGGTACATTTAGACCTTAAAGGAGCACCTCCAAAAGTAAGTATTTCAACAAAAGAATTTTAACTGTAAATTTATAACTGTTTTTTATTAATATAATTATGATTAATGTGTAAATTATTTTGAAATCTATGTTAAAACTTTTATTTTTAAAGTTATATCGGTTATAATTATAAATTTATAATAATAAATTTAATTTCTAATTAGTTCCTATTTAATTTAAATAAAATCAATTTGTATTTCAGCTTAATTTTTTGAAGCATCTTCTGCCGGTATTAAAAACACTTGGTGCCACTGGTTTGCTAATCGAATATGAAGATATGTTTCCGTATACCGGTGTACTACAAGGAATTTCGGCTAACAATGCTTATAAACCAGATGAATTAAGAGTATGCCTTACAGTGTTTTTAACATTATTCCAAATTGCATATTAGTAAATATATTTTTAGAATTTTTTGGAGACAGCATCAATGCATGGATTAACCATAATGCCGCTCGTACAAACATTTGGTCACATGGAGTATGCGCTAAAATTGCAAGGATTTGAGCAAATGCGTGAAATACCAGAAAGTCCACAATCGATTTGTCCTAGCCAAAAAGACTCCATCGCATTCATAGAGAATATGTTAACACAAGTGATAGAGTTTCATGTACGCATGGGTGCTAACAATAGTAATGATGCTGCTGCTCCCGAGCTACCAATCAAATTTACACACATACACATTGGTTGCGATGAGGTTTACCGTATGGCTGAGTGTGATAAATGTCGTCAACATTCACGACATGAACTTTTCCTAACACATGTTACAACAATTGCCAATTTCGTACGTACTCGTTGGCCGCACCTGCGTGTTGTTATATGGGACGATATGTTGCGGGATATGACTCTCACCGAAATGCAACATTCGCACATTGGAAATTATGTGGAACCTATGATTTGGGTTTACGCTAATGATATTTATCACTTTATACAGCCACAGTTATGGGATATGTATTCCAAAGTATTCACAAGTGCTTGGGCTGCATCGGCATTTAAAGGTGCGTTCGGCGAGAGTCTGATGATACCGCCATTGCAACAGCACTTAGAAAATAATATGAGATGGCTTGCAGTTATTGCTAAAGAAGGGGGCAGGTTGGTTTTTGTTATTATTAGATATTAATGTTATTAAATATTTGAATTTTCTTTGAATCGGGCTAATATTTTTTTTTTAGATTCTCTAAAGGTTTTAATGGTTTAGCATTAACTGGCTGGCAGCGTTATGACCACTTTGCTACGCTTTGTGAACTGCTTCCAATATCTATGCCTAGTTTAATTACCTCCTTATCTACAGTTTCACGAGGTTATTTTAGCACGAATCCGAAAGAAAATGATTTACTACGAGTTCTAGAATGTGTTTTTCATCCGGATAGCAGGTATAATATAATGAAGCTGAATATAAAAAACAATTTTTGCAAATTTTCATTTTTGTTTTTTAGACGCTCTGGTCACCCATGGATTGAATTACACCCTAATTCTCATCACAGTCAATTGTTCTCAACTTGCACATATCTGGGCAGTCATGTCTACAAATTTGCTTTACGTCTTTTCGAAAAACTTGTAGAAGTACAGAATTATTTAAGCCATGTTAAAGACAAAAGCGCCTGGTTGTCGGATTACAACTTACGACATAATTTCAGTTCACCAATAAGAGTACGCAGTTTAACCACAAATACGCCGCCATTAATAAATGAGCTCACAGGCATGGCGAAAGAAGCACATCAAATTATGATTGATATATTTGATGAGGTATTATATCTTTATATTAATTATAATTTATTCAATTATTAATAATGGTTTTTTTATAGCATACAATTGCAGAGTTTATAGAACAAAATATTTACCCTTTAATAGTGTCACTACGCAAGCAATTAGAACAAGCACAAACCCTGCTACAGCGGCACACTTGGCCACAACGTCCTCTACCATTTTCTCGAGAACTGATTGATTTAAGTCTATTACCAGATTACACTTTACACAAAAATGAACACCATTCAGAGCATACTAACACTTAAAAATTTTGTTGTGATAAAATGACTCAAATGTTAACAAAAAACATGTTATGCTTTTTGCAATAAACAATTACGCCATTTATTGAGATCAAATTTCAACTTTTTAAAAGTATGTGATTTATTAATGTATATTTTTATTAATAAGAATGTATATTATATGTATTTATAAAACAAAGTATAGGCATTATTATCTAAGTAGTATTAAAATTTAAAAAGTAAAAATATACAGTATGTATGTTTTGCTATTATAATGTAGTTTTTACTCATACAGAAAAATTATTATAATAGAAACATTTCAAATAAAATTTAATCTTTTTTATCACATATTTAAGCGTGTATTAAATTTAAAAATATATTTTTGACATATGTATTTCATCAATATATAAAATATATTTCATTAATCAAAATATTTAGAGAGTACACCTTGAAGTTAAAACTAAATCTAGAACGTGACTACTTTAAATCGGTTTATAATATTTATAATTATATTTCTTTTAAATATAATATTTCTTTTATGCAATCGATGTTAGTATGCGTTTTGAACAACAGCTTTTTATGAGCGTTATATTCTGGATATTTAAAAGGTATAATATATAGATGTTTGAAAACAAAAACAGTCCGAAGTAATATAGTATATTAACAATTTTCTTCATTTTCACCGGACTTAGATCGTTTATTTAGCGCATTAAAATGATAAATAAATAGACTTATTAATTTATGTTAAAGCTTTTTTCATTATATTAAAAAATATTTATAATACAGATTAGACCATCTTCAGTGTACATAAGCAAAAAAGAAATTATCTAAAACGCATGTAAATAAAATTTAAACATATATTCAAACCATATATTATATTCAGATTTTTTTGAAAATTAAACTGCGATTCATTTTAAAATATAAGAATTTTGAACTCTCTATAGAGAATAAGATTATGATTCTATTACAATCAGAACTGACTTAACTAACTTGAATATACAGTAATTCCCCCTATAATGCGGTACCCTTATAACGCGTTTGCATATTACGCGATTCCAGTCCCCCGTTTAACACGGGCATTCGCTCATATAACGTGGGGATTTGTACAGTTCAATATTAGCTTCACGTACCTTTGCACGTTGTGTACGGGATATACGAGAATATCTCTCTAACGCGAAACCAATCTACCGCCTTATAGGGGGAATTACTGTATTTCTCATAATTTTGAAAACAAATCCGTTGGTACATTAGAACTACTTATTCCAAAATTATGCTTAACTTTCTTGTGAGCATAGAGAGTACAAGATTTCAACATTACACATAAAAAATTTATCGACGTACTTGCTGTACATATACGAAAAAGACAATTCCAAACAATTTCCAACAAAAAATTCAATTGCTGGTTCAGGAAATAAGAAGGAAAGAATGTACAAAACACCGAATTTAAGAAATTAAGGATGTTCTGAAATAGAAATGCTAAGTGTAAGTAATATTCTTTATTTATACCATTGTTTTGAATGCTCTTAGTGTTATTATCTTTTGTAGTATTATCTTATTTTTTATACAGCTCAATACAATAAGTTTTGAATGTTTTCAATACACATAATATCTTTTCTAAATGATTAAAATAAATATATTAATCTTGATTCTTCTTGAGTTAGTGCTATTACGCACTTTTACTCTATAATGGCTGGGGGGCTTATCTCTACCCCACACTAGGCTTTAACTAGGCTAAGAAATCATATAATTTATTTGTCTTTTATTTGATGACGGACCTTAAATCAGTATATCTTCCTGAGAATCCAGAAGTGGACTTGAGGATTGTTAGGGCGGGGTTAAGTAGCGTATCAACTTTAGTGAATAATTTTAGAGCTCTGTCTCTGATATATTTTTTCACTGAGTCAATCCTAAGATCTCTATGTATGGAAAATTTAAATTTTGAAGAATCCGAAAAAAAATCTTACAAAAGTTTGTTACGCGTTCAATATGTTAGTTGACTAGACTTGACTAGAACTAAACTGAAAGTGTCCAGCAAAAGCTAACCAAACCACGTCAGCAATGCTGAGATTTGCATTCTCTTGATAAGTGTGGTGGTGTTTGTCGTATCTAAATTGATATCTATAATAGGAATCATAAGCGGAACATTATTCATCAAGTAAACAAATAATGTTTGACTATGCTGGTCGTACCTAAATCGGCATAAAGAGTAAGTTAGCTTCGCAGCACTCAAAAGTGTGTAATCAGGAAGTGTTACTTTGTGTGTAGGATAAATTCCTAAACAAAAACAATATTGTTGCGTTTTGTCTTTTATTTTTTTTGATACAAAGTAAAACAAAATTTACTTAGACTTTTGTACTTGACTAATCATTGGCACACTTTTTTATCAAAATCACTAGGAATATTTCGTAAAATCTTCATTTTGGTTTAAAATTATAATCATATTATTCCTTATTTCCAACACATTTTCAAACGTCTCTATTATTTCATAACTATTATTATTTTATTTATTTACAACATATGGAAAGAAATGAATTTTTAAGTTCATAAGTTCAAATTGAATTTATCCTATGAGTTTTGATGTCACGAAACCTTATAACCAATATTTTTAATAACATTGGTGACACAAACAATTCAATAAAAAAAAATTTATACTTACTATTATTATATATATTTTTTTGTTCACATAAACTCTTTTCGTCATAAATAAGGAAAATAATAAGTTTCTTAATCTTTTAGGTTTATATAAATTTTATAATATAAATCTTTTTGCATAAGATTTTTTTTAAAAATATGTTTATGCAGATAATTGTATAAAGTTGCGAAATATTTTATTTTTTTTATCGGCGTGTCCGATTTAACGATTTTAATTAGTGATTAGTTCTGCTTTTAAAGGTAATCAATGATTATATAGGATACTGAAATTACATGACATTTATATTAAGGTGCACCCACAGCAAAGCGAACGCTTACGAACGAACGAATATTCGCAGGTAATCGTACCTGCGAAAGTTCTTTTCACCTTTATATATACGCGTATTTTTAATATATATATATTATATTTTTATATCAATATTTACATAAATTTTAATATGAATTAGTGAAATGTTGCAACAGCGCAACAGGATAACAGAAAATTTCATGTCCGGAAGCAATTAACATCTGTCAAAGAAAGAAACGCGCATGAATTGAAACACAGCTGATATGCAAATGCAGTCCTTTTGGGCAGAAATTGACAATCGGCTATTACGACCATAACTGCTTGTTCATTTTGCGCTTGAATAAAGATTTTATAGTAATAATATTAATAATTGGAGTTTAATTACAAAAAAAAATTATTTAATTGGTAAATTAATGAAAATTTGTATAAAGTGAACTGAAGCATTTACCACAACAAGACATTAAACAAGTCATTTTCTTTATACACATTTATTCATTGATAAACCTAAACTCACCCTTTTTACCACCTTGTCAGATACCGCAATTGTGTAAGATTTTTTTTTCATTCATTCCATTGAAAAACTGTGTCAATTAATTACTTGTGATTTACTTGAAGTAAATTTAGAATTACAACTCAAATATGGGCATTAATGAAACTCAACATGATACACAATCAGCCGATGAATGCAATACAACAAAATTATCCTTAGATATTTTTCAGGATATTTTTAAGCGCATTGAGCCGGAAGTGCAAATCGATACGTTTGAGGTAAGTACAATAGTTGCAAGTGCATGTATGTAATTGTACATACATATAGATATGTATTGATATATACAAAAATCATTTAACCGTAATACATACAGAGTTGTAAAATAAATATTTATTGAATATATATTTGCACTGTTTGTAATTGAATTATTTTTACTAGAGTGAACAGGGGTCTGGGCGTGGTGATAACTACACGGCAATACTGTACCGTATTCACCTTACTGGACAAAGAAGATGTACAGTTGATGGAAAAAAACTAAAATGGGAGAAGAATTTAATTTGCAAACGATTACCAGAGAATGTGCAACGTAGAGAAGCATACAAAAGTGATAAATTATTTAGGTAAGTTAATATAGAATTATGAAGGAAAAATAAATTAATTTGGAATGTTTAAACAAAACAATGGGTTCACATAGGTGTTATTTTATGTTGCTAATTTATTCATTTTGTCTAGCATTTTTCATGTAAAGCTGAACAAAGGTATTTACGATTCTCTTTGGTTATTAGAAATAATACTTATAATAATATTTGACATAACACCTTCTTCATGCATTAACTGCAGCTCCACCACTGGCAGTACGGCTATCACTGCATTGTTTTGGCTGGACCCAATAATTCAGCTTACATTATTTAATAAATTTGAATTCCAACGAATTTATATAACCAAATTAGATTTTGTTTGCTGACTCTTAAAATAGCACCATATAATTTGCCTTCTACTAGTTAACCGCTAAGCCTAATGTTTGTTTCCTGCGAGATATGTTAATTATTTTTGATTTCAATTATATCATCTGCATAGATATTAACTTAGTAAACAATAATCAATTTGAAATATTTCCTGATGTAGTAGACTTCTTTATCGTATGGTGTAGTTAGATTTGATAAACTATCATTTTGTTTTCCCACTTCCAACACGACAAACGTTGATGCACTGTTGCCGTACGAATACATTTCGATATTGTTAATTAGGACATCCACATAGCCTAAACTTGTCTAAATTTTTTTTTTTTTTTGAATTCTATAAGGATCATAATTAAATCAATATTTTAAGTTTCGATTCCATGCAAATACGTGATACAGAAATACAGTTTATTTTTAATTAATGAATTTTTAAACTAATATTAATATTATATTATAATGTATTATTTTTTTTTTCAGAAATGAAGTCGAATTTTATACAACGATTATGCCTGAGCTATTGAAATTTCAAGGCAGCAAGACAACACAAGTATTTAATGCTGTACCAAAAGTTTATATTGCACAGCCGGATATTCTTGTGATGGGTTAGATTGAACTTATAAAATTAATACAATATATACTTATCACTTATTATTATTATAAAAAATTTTATGCATACTAATTAAAATTAAAATTTCAGAGGACTTAAGAATACGTGGGTTTGAAATGCCTGATCGAAAAAAAGGACTTACAGTAGAGGAAACAACACTCGTTTTGAAGCAAGTTGCTCAATTTCATGCTTTAAGCTTAGCGTATAAATATGAAAATCCGAAACAATTTGAAAAATTACGTATGCTAACAACTGAAGGTCTATTTTGTGCCTCCAATGAAAGTTGGTATAAAAATTACTACGAACGTTTGACTAAAAATGCAATTAAAATGGTAAGTTTAATTATTAACATCGAGCAATAATAATTTTTTGATTTATAATATCAACATCTCAACGTAGGTCTCCGATGTTTTACCTGAAGACTCAAAGTATTTGACAGCTATGAAAGATTTTGCTGAAAGCTCATCATTTTTTTCACGCATGGTAAATTTAGTTAGCGCGGAGTCGCCTTTGTCAGCGATTTGTCATGGTGACTGTTGGGTTAACAACTTTTTATATCGATACGAAATAAATAATGATCAATTGAAAGTTTTAGAAGTAACTATTCAAAAATATACGCTTAATAGATTTAAATAATATTCTATTTATCATAGGTTTGTCTTGTAGACTTTCAACTAATACGATACAGTTCTATTGCTTTAGATATAGCTAATTTACTATTCTGTTGCACCAGTAAGTCCACACGGGATGAGCATTTACGTTCATTTATTAAACTATACAGTAGTGAACTGTTTAGTTGGCTTGAAATTCTATGTAGTACAATACCAGAGCATTTTAACACACCAGAAAAATTTGAAGAATTGTAAGTATGTCATTTTATTTTTAAAGTCTAATGCCATGGAACAGAAACAAATTAATAGTTCCTTTAGTAGGGTTAAATTCTGTACGATATTACAGACTGCAATAAATTTGAATTATCTCAGTTTCCGTTTCAAAAATTTACCTAATATTGTTTAATATGTTTCATTTTTTATTCTAGATTTACTAAAGAATTAAAAACCTATGGTCGTTTTGCACTTGGTCTAGCGTTAGACATTATACCAATAAGTACTTGTGCATCAGAAGATGCTCCTGATCTCTATTTGAATACACATCTAACTGATGAAACCAAATTAGGTGCACCAGAATTAAATTTTCCGCCCAACGATTTGTGCCGTCAAAAAATGTCCGAAATTGTTATTGACATGGTCGATGGTGATATGCTGTAAGAAAATGCAACATCACTTATATTGCTATCACTTAACATATACACGAATAAGTTTCCTTAAACGTATGGAATTTATATATATGATATTATTATTTAATCGAAAGTAATGTAGTGAAAGTAAAATGGTTTACATGTAGGTAGTAAAACTTACTTAGGCATTTGTAATTATTTGACTTATACGTATGAAATCTACAAGATGAAATACTTGGTAGACTACTCATGAATATTGTATTGAAATGAAATTGTGTCGCTATAGCGCATGCTACTACAGGATATGTGAATGAATATATATAGAAAACTCAAGTTCAGAGATAATTAATAGTATTTTTGCAGTATTAATAATCATAAAAATAAGTAGCAGTAAATATGTATGTTATATTTGTATAACTGCGGTTAAATGTGTATTTGTTTGATTTGGAATGGCTCAAGATGTGTAGAATGTTTCAGTTTTCTCTAAATCATGAACACATTTTATATTTTTTTCATTTTTGATATAAAATATTTTAAACAAAATATACATACATATTTTTAAAAATTTTTTGAGCCATGCATATATTTTATATTCGCAATGCTTTTTTGACCCTGAACAAAGTAAGTATTAAAATATGCTTCTAACATGAACACCTTAGACAATAAAAGTATTGTTAGAAAAACAACAACAAGCAATGTATATTTAGTAGTATATTTAATAGCGATTTAATTTAATAAACTATACAATAATATGCATCAAATCACAATAGAGTAGTTATTATTTGATAAAATATACTAATAATCCGCTTTAGCAGTCCAACTGGATTTGGTACTCATAGTTCCTTTATCGCAATTATTGCGCAAAAACCTTAAACCAGCTTCAATTGAATTTTCTAGTTCAATATCTTTTCTGGATTTTTTCGGATTAATTGGTAGCGTACAATCCAAGTCAGCTGGCGGTGGTATTGTCGCGCCTCTAGACGTACTACTGCTAGATTCGATATCCTCATATGTTTCACTTTGATAATTTTTTCTGTGAAATTGCTTAGTACGTTTTGAGCTTTGATAATTATTAAAATTAACTTCTTGTGTTAAGGTAGGCGGCGGCACCATATGATATTGCATTGATGAAGTTGAGCTGCTATTGAAATTTGTACGTTTTAATTCTGCTTGAGGTGGTGCAAAATCTGGATTACGCTCAGTACGCTTTTTTTCATTCCATTCCTTTTGTGACATAGGCAAACGTTCTGGTTTATATGTCCAATTATCTGATTTTTCATCCTCATTATCATCTTTATTATTGGCAACATATTTTTTCGAACGATCCCAGGGTCGTAAATGTTGCTGACGCTCAAATTCCCGCTGCTCTTCTATTCGTTTATTTTTACGTTTTTGTTTTTCTTCACGTTTTCTTGCTCGTCGCTCCTCTTTTGTTTCTTCTAGTTTTTCCTCATTTTTTATTTTTTCAGCTTCATCAATTTCATCAAGCGGTGGAAGCCCTAAACGTGCCCTTTGCCGATTTTTTGCTGCTAGTACGCGTTCTGCAATAATTTTTTCTCTCTTCGAACGAAATTCCTCACGTTGTTTTTGTTCTTCTAGTGTTTTTTGACGAACTTTTTGTAGTCGATCTTGTTGCCGTTTACGTTCTTCTTCATCTGTTGAGAATGCATAATAACCTACACCATGTTGTCTCGCTTCATCAAAAAATACATCTTGATAATGGACATCTATTTTCTCGAGATTTTCTAGTTCTTTTCGCTCCCATCCTATACGTTGTTCGTCTAATTTGGATATTTGTGAAAAGCCATCAGTTTTTTCAGATGGCGGCGGAAGTGGACCAATTATTTCGTCACTGCCATCATTACTGTTATTACTAACATTTGTATCTAACATCCAATTTGCTTTACTTTGATCAATACGTTCAGGCATACTAGCTGCTAATTCAGCATCACGTTTTTTCGCAGTTTCTAAGTCTTTACGTAGGCATCTTCGAGTGCGACCCAAACAATCTTTAAATTCTACCTAAAGAATTTAAGAAGTTAAATATTATAAACTAAAAAATTCTTGGTTTATTAATATGCGTACCCAATCATCTTCGTCATCCATATGTTCTTCCCCACTAGAACTTAAATCACTGCTAGAATATTGTCGTTTTAATTTGGTTTCATCGTCGCTATCTTCTTGTTTCTTGCGATTAAATTGCACTAAGCAATTGTCATCCATATTAAGTTTTCCACCAGCTCGGCTCATTTTATCGTAAAATTTAGCTTTTGCTTCAAGCACGCGCTTCGATTTTTCCAATAATGCACTATCTTCAACTTCATACACCTTAGCATCTTCCTTTTGTTCAATTTTAGGTGGCGCTTCGTTTTTATTTTTTGATGTAGTTTCATCTTTGGATTTAGATTTCTTAATAGAGCGTTCTTCAGTTGGCACTTCAGCATTCTTGGCTTTAGTAACTTCTACTTTCTTTCGCTGTAACTCTGCTTTCAAAGACAATAAAGCAGACAAATTTACACTAATGACTTTATTAGGATCATTCATTTTATATGACAAACTTTTGATTATTATTTAAACTCGAACTTATATTTCTTTTTGGATTAGTTGCTCATCAGCTGATATTCATTTTTCTACTGTCAGGGTTGCAATTTATATTCAAATTATTTTTAAAATAACTAAAGTTATATCAAAACATAAATTGTACATATGTATATATATATGTGAGCAACATAATATAAAATATAATTACACTATAGTTAATAATATGTTCAGACACACCTTATTTTAGCAAAAATCTTAATTTCATCTTTGTTTCAGCGAAATCAAATTGTTTTCCATCCAAAATTCAGTTTAAGGTTTAAAACGATATTAAGGAAAATGGCCTTAGTTTCGTTGAAACAAATACTATGTTCAGACACACCTTAATTTTGCTAAAATCTTAATTTCATCTTTCTTTCAGCGAAATTAAGTTTTTTTTTCCAATTCAGTTTTAACTGACAACGAAATTAAGGAAAATAGCCTTAATTTCGTTGAAACGAAGGCTGAAATTGAGGGATATTTCAAATGCAACTATGTGTAAGATAAATTTTAAGCAAAAGATAAAATTGAGAAACGGTCACAACAATATTCGTATCGCAAATAAGCCAACATGATGTTTTTTGCCAGATTTGCGAGCCACCGAAAGCGCCTATTATAATAATTGGAATTTATAATAATAAATGACACAATTGAAAACTTTAGCTTGAACGTCCTATAACGAATTTAAATTCGGTATATGAAGTTTTAACATTAATGATATAAATTGTTCTTGTAATTTATTTTATATTGTGTGGTTGTAATATAATACTTTACTTATACAATATATATACTTATAACTTATATATATACTTATAAATATATTATACATTACTCATATTCTCGATCATTTACTTTTAAAAAAATCTGTTCATATTATTTGACAATTTTGTGAACAGGAAAATATCTTATATATACCATTTCCAACACTGTTTTTCATGACAAAGGAGCCCTTATCCAAAAGCAGCTGTCATTGTTCTGTAAATGATAAGTCGTTGTTGTTGTTCTTGTTCTAACGGGCTGTACGATTTGCTGTAGACAAATTATTTAATTCATTAAATTATTAAGTACACGGCAGCTGAAATTTCACGAAAAAGTATTTATAAAAGAACAAGAACTTAATTTAAAATTTAACAATAACAAAAATAGTACGATTTAATATCAATCACTATAGTAATAGAAAAAGGAAAATTTTGCGAAGAACAAAACAAAATCAATAATCGAACATTTTGTGCAAAAAATATTATTTTGATTTAATTTTTAATAATCGTATAAGCAGAACATAATATAATAAATAAAAAATTTACAAAATAAATCTTAATTAACTGAAACGCACTAGTTTCAAGATAATTACGTTCAATATATTTTAGTTTTGTTTTAATTGCACGATTTCATTTTTCGTTTGACAATTTTGTGCGTACTTCAAGCGTTTGTTCCTACATGTCGGCTGTGGATCCACCTTTAGTGCAGTTGGAGGACGTTGATCTTATGAGCACATTTTCAGATGAAGAGTCAACGCCTGCTCTAAGTACAGGAAAACTCACAACAACGACAAAAGTTGAAGTAAGTAAATAAAATTCAAGGTCATTAATTATTTGTAAATAATTTCAATGTCATTATAAAATAAATTTAATTAGTTGACAGTCCGTATAAACATTTAAATTTTACATATCCAAATAACTGATTATAAATTGACTCTACCATATGTTTCTAAATTAAACAGAAATCGTGTTTAGTAACATATTGTAACAATCTTAAAAAAATTTTTTTTAAATGTTTTTTGAATCATTTATTAATTTTGATTAAATTGTTTTCTTTATTGCAGATAAATACAATTGGCATTAATAATAAAGAAAAAAAAGGCAAAAAGAAAAAATCGCGCCGACAAAACGTGCTGCTATCTGTTGACGATGATGACGATGGAGCTGCCGAAATTAAATATAGTGATACAAATGATGTTAGTATTGATAACGACGATGACGATGAAAATACTTTCTATAATGACTTAAGCAACGATAAACTAAATGGATACCATCAGCAGTATAAACAAAACCATAAACAAACGCTCCAACCGTCAACGCTTAAAAATACTCACGGCAACAGCATCATTTCGCTCTCATCAAACACCTCACCTTCTCTTAGCAACAACAGAGAGAACCATAGCGGTAGCAGTAGTGGCAGTGCAAGCAATCCCAGCAATCGCAGTACACCACAACCCGGCAGTGGAGTTGTTACACCGTTGTCACTTCGAAATTCTCCACAGAATTTTCATAAAATTCATAATTTGCCATTAAATAATCACGGACACGATTGTGCTGACGACGGTGACGAAATTTGTTTAGTGCCAGAAGTTGATTTTGAAGTAGGTTCGATGGGTGGGGGAGATAATCGTGAATCACAGCCTTTATTAGGTGGACATAGTGGAAGCGGCGGTCGCGATCAAACGGATTTATCTTTCAATACATTTGTCGGTAAGTCAATACTTCCTAGTTATTCATATTTAGGTGTACATAAATGTTAACGTCGATATTCTATTATACTTTAAAATTGGGTTATATATAATATATCAACCACAAAAGTGAAGCCATACAAATTTCAATTTGCATAGAGTGTAAATAAATATATGTAAAAGAGCTTTTGGTTCTTGTTTAAAAAGGTGCATATGAAATATTTCTTTTCAATGAATTGCGGTCAAAGTACTCTAGCTGCAATAATACATTTTGTAATTACTGTTAGTTAATTTATTCAAACTAAATAGGTTTATTGATATAAATATTCGTTTAAGAGTATGCATATTTGAATGATTGCGATAATTATATAAAAATTACTTAATAAACGTGTTTGTTGCGCTTCAGAAATAATTACTCTTCTGATGAGTCACATATATTATCTTCTATTTCATCATTCCCAACATCATTGTAAACTATTTCAGTACAAAATTACAAAAAAAAACCAAACAAATAAGTTTTATCTTTACGTTATTTTAATACCCTTTACACAGACATGAGATAATCTATTTTTTTCAAACTTAGTAAACAATTTTCATTAAATAAGATAGTGATTATTAACTAGAATTATCATGTTAAAAATATACTCATATAACTTAAAAAATAAATGTAAATACATACAAGTTCAAACATGTGAATTAATTGTACTTAAAAATATATTATGACTAAAGGTTTCAAGTTTTTAGTAACATTCATCTACATTTTTATTTTTATTTTTATTTTATATATATATTTCATTTTTTTCATATTATACTGCATTCACTAAAAGAAGTTTACTATTTAAACTGATTCTGAACTGAAAAGGTTTTATAGCGGAACCTTCAGAGCTTTTTTACTCTAATTAAACCACCGACCCTTGTATTGAACCATTAAGGTTTTGTGTATTTGGCATGGCGCGATGGTGTCAAAAAATTAATATAAAGCATTTCAAAAATTTTGGTTGTTTGCAGTCTAAAGAACCATATTCAAATATATATATTATAATATATTATACATATAATATTTTATACATATATTTTCTGTATACATTTACAAATATATATCTTATACTAATAATGTATAATAATATTATTATATAATACAATAATGTTGGAAAATAAGTTCGTACCAGTTCAGTTATTTTGACGCTATTTAGTATAGTTAACAAATATCACACAATCATGAATTTGATTGATATTAATTTAATAAAACTTCTATTAAAGTTTAATTGCTACAAAAAAATATATAGAATTATTTAAAAACTTTTATATTTTCTATGGGTTTTGTCATCTTCTTCCTTGTATTACAAATATCTTGACAAATTTAATGTATTATAATTTACTACAGAGTAGGGTATAAAAATTGGTATTTTCAAATTATTCATAAAAATAGTAGATTAAAATAAATGATTGCATTTAGATGTATTCTTATATTATTATTAAACCTATTGTCGTGAAATACCCCAACAGCCGGTATTGCGGCGAGAAGAGTCCTATTGTACCAGACTTATTGTGAATTCTTATAACTTAAAAAACAGCTTACCCGTTTCATTTATTAAATATAATATAAAATAAAATAATTTATTCAAATAATAGATAATTAAAAAGATACATGAATATTCTAAATCAATTTTTCCTTAAAGTGATGGTGAATGACCTTAAAATATATTACAATAAAATATCAGAAAAACGACTAAATAAATATTGTTTAAGAAAAAGCTATTAGTGTGCCATTATTAACGTTTAGTCTGACCGTGATAACTAATGATAGGATAATATTTTATTAGTTAATTAGTAATTAGGATTCCTTTTAAGTCATTCCACAAAATTGTTTACATTTTTTAGCAAATTCTATAGAAAATTGTTAGTTCTGCAAATTAAAATCTTATAATTTAATAGTTAAAAAAAAAATGTGCACAACCATTAAGTTGACATCTAAACCATCTATAGTTATAGAATTATATTGAATACATAACCCAGGAACTGTTGCTGAATTAAACGTAATGCTATTACAATATTTGCCCATCTACATTTTTAACTTTTAAGTTAGAGTAGTTAGCGGCTTTATAAGTTAATCAGTAATCTTGTTATTTCATTGAGCGGAACTCTTACAGTATATAATAAGCTTTGGAACAGGAATGTCTTTAAGAATCTACTTAATTTTAATAACGAATTGAGATATAAAATATAGTTCAATATATATTTGAAATAAAAATATAGATTTAAAATATATCTTAATTCGTATTTCCAATATGGAAACTCAGATATAGTTTAAGAAACAGCCTGATATTATATCGCAGCGTATCAGCGCCATCCCTGCTTAAAACTGCATGGAGTGCACATTTATATATAAAATAATAACGTTTTATATATGATTACATAAATGTGTAATCCGTAAAGTCAAGATATATAAGTACAAAAACTGAAATCAAATTGTTCTTGTTTTTAAAGCACTTTTGTCAGACCTTGTGTAGTGTTTGAAAATTTTGATATGAATCTTCGATATCAAGAACAGTATCAGCGCACCAACAAAGTTTTTTAGGTTAGTCGGCGGGGATATGTCTTTAATAGCTGGTATTTTATCTGGGGCTAGATACTATATTATATATAAATTTATGGATAATTTGTACGATAAGCAAACCGAAACATTTGAATAGAATTTGGGTTATTTTCTTTATAAAAATTACCTCAATCGTTTTATAATTTAACGTTCTAGATGTATATCTGATTACAAATGCTTATGCTTTACGATTTTTCTACTTAATTATTGCACATTTGATTTAACTGATATTACTTATTAATAACAATACGACCAGGCCCATATAATCTAAAAAATGTTCTATGTTCATTATGTATTTCCTTTAATAATTTCATCAATATATAAAATATATTAATAATCCAGTCATTTTGATTATTCTCGTTTATTTACGCAAAGTTGTAGAATAGAATAAAATTTTTCTTAGCTTTATAATTATTTTGTTTCTACAAATCTATTAAAATTGCGCTTTGTGTTAAAAACTGATATGAAATTCAATTACGCCCTATAAACATCAACAAAGAATCAATTGTCCCAATGCAAATGTACGAGTATATTACATATAATTTTAATTTTTTTTAATAATAAATATATTTTTTTTGTGAATAATAATTTAAAAGAATTTAAAAATATTTCATGAGTTATATATAATAAACTTTGCTCAAAAATATATAATTTAAATTGCATTTTATCAAAAAATTTGGTATAAACTTACTTATGAAGAATTGGAGATAAGAAGGCCTTCTCCCTGTTTTTAGCAATTATTTTCTTATCAGCAATTTTTACGATCTAAATATTATTTTCATACACAGTCATCATAAAATCATTTCGCACTGCCACTCCAGTATATCAAGTACTAATTCATTATGTATAAAATATATATTATTATTATAACGATTCGTTTTTGCAAAACGGTTTCTTATACATATTAACTATTAATAAGATTTTTCGACTACAAGTAGCACTCCATACCATGTATATTTTATGTGTTATATTATAAAAACACATGGTAAATTAATAAAAACTTCTTATTTAAGTTAAATATTGTTAGAACTACTTAAATATATCGTCCGATTTTGTTGTATACTGAGCGAAGTTTTTGAAGTATTGAAATATTTGACTTGTATCTGTAAAATACTGCTTTTGTAGGGTTATCTTAACAAATAATGTGATGCCATGCTATTTTCGGCCACTAGCAAAAAGTATATCAGTGTTTTTTTTAATGGTTAAAATAAAGACTTATGAAGGAATTTTCTGTAAGATAAAATAAGAGAAGGAGACTTTGAAGGAGGGTAGGGAGATATGAAGAGATAAATTCTTAAAGTTCTCCAAGGCTTGTATTGAATTTCTTGTAAAGCACTTTATAGTTCAGCCCTAATACGCTTCTAAATATATTTATAAGTAACAATTTTGTTTTATTTCAAAAAATTTATAAATTTACAATTTTGTCATTGACTATTGAAACAATTGATTCATCGTTAGGCGCTTTCTTTTGTAACCAAATCACAAAAGAACAACCGCTTATTTTAAAAATAACATATGAAACAACACTGCTCGCTTATTTAATCCAACCTTTTTGAAACCGCTTAACTAATAAGCAGCTTAAATCACATGGTTGCCAAGACTAAGAACTTGTGTATTGTGAACGATTTTTGGAAGTACATATGAAATTTCCAGTTCACTGTGAATTATTTCGTAAATTTTTCGTATTTCGTATTATCATTGTTTGTAACAAATACATTATTTTTTTATTTATTATTTTTCTTGTAAAAGGCATATAAATTATTATTTTAATCATAATGTAAAAAGGAAAATGTTCTTGCCAATAATTGGACAGAATTATTATTCATTTTTGAAATTTTAACTTCCAATTTTATTACGCGTTTTGTATATGTAAGCCTAACAAAATTTTCGTTTTGTCCAGAGTTGCCATCGAAAATAGTGTTTATTTTATTTGTTCTTTTGCGACATGCTTACAAAAGAAAAGGCCTATTGCTGTTTGTAATATGATATTTACGAAAAATTCTTTTCTTTTTCCGATATGATTTCCTAATGAATATATTGAAAACACGTTACAATTAAATATTTATTTTCCAATTTCCATTATTATTTTTATTATTTCAAAGGGCTTATATGAATACTATATAATACAATAAGTTGTAATTTATTACGTTCTCCGAAGTATTTTTTTGCTTTTTCTTCAAAAAAGATATTCGAAATTAATGTTTTAAATTTAATTTGGTTTTAAGATCCATTATGCCAAAGATACTAATTTCTGAATAGAAGTTTTTTATGATTTTTAAACAGCGAAGAATTACAATTTTTTTTCTATATTTAATTAATTGAATTTTATTGAATTTTATTTGGTTGACCATACAGCTGTTGGTTTTGTTAGTTAGGCTTACAATTTTGAACATGATAAATTTAAAGCAATGATTATCGCGTTTATT